CCTGCAGGGACGTGGTGTGGGACAAGCCCCCGGGGGCTGCAGGGGCCCGTGCCAGGAGAGGTGGGCTCAGCCAGGGCTGCCCCCGGACCTTGGCTGCGTCGGGAGGAGGTCGTGCCGGGTGGGACAGCAGATGCTCATCCTGGGGAGGGCTTGGGCTGCAGCCAGGGCCCTGCAGCACCCACGGGGGCACGTTGAGGGCACTGCCTGACAGATCATAGAATGATACAACCATTCGGGTTGGAAAAGCCCCTCAGGATCACTGAATCCAACCATCACCCCTACTCTACAAAGTTGTCCCCTAAACCAAACCCACCAGCACCACGTCCAAACGACCCTTCAACACACCCAGGGATGGTGACTCCACCACCTCCCTGGGCAGCCTGTCCCAGGGTCTGACCTGTTCCACAGTCTGACCACTCTTTTCCACTCTTTCAGTGGAAATTTTTTCCAGTTGTAGCCGGGGGTGATGGAAGGGTCCATCTCTGGTCTCCTTCAGCCCTAGATTTCCTTTGAATTTTGTGACTTGGCACAGCAGGAAACGACCATGGAAAATGGCTGCCTGTCCCCATACGTAGAAAGACTGTCCCAGCAAGGCCACTGCACCCCCCAGACACCCTGCACACCCCTGGGGCTCTGATGTCCCAGCAGATGTAGCCAACACTGCACCACCTGCACATAGTGCCACTGAGGAACATGCATATTAATCAGGTATGTGCAACCTACAATGAGGTCATTTCAATTTTGGGGAGAATACGAACGATTTTTTGTTGGTTTTTTATTTTTTTTTGCCTTTCAGACATGAAACCCAATGTATGAAAAATATAGAATGTAGCAGCTTAATTGGGAATCTTTAGGTGGGGCCCAGGACACAAAGCAATCAACACACACACATCGAGGGCACGGTCTGGTGCTTCCTGGCATGTAGAAATGTTGGAGACAAGATTATAAGCATGTTGCACTAACCGTAAGTTCACAGTTGGATGCTTATTCAATAAAGTAGTTCTGTTTAGCTGCAGCAATTAAATTAGCACAGAAAATACTACCACAGCCCTCGCACACCTTGCCATGCTCCTTCTCCTTCCAAATGTCACTGCTGACCTTTTCTGCATCTCTTTGTGATTATTTATGGTTTTGCATAATTGCTGACAATATATCTGAGATTTCTGCACGAGCCTGCATGACACTCACACCTGTGGATCCCATCACCAGCCACAGAAAGGAACAATTTCCTTGGCAGCTGTTAGGAAGGGACAGGGATGCTTCTTCTCTATGGCAGGAAAGGCACCACTTACTAAACAGGTTATTTAGAGCATTCCTAAAAACACCAGGGAATGTATCAGAGGTGCTTTTTAGAAAATCAAAATAATGCCTTTACTGAAGAACAAACACACACACAAACCCTGGGGACCTGGTTGATTATTTCCAGCCTCAGCGAGGGGGTGGCTTACACCAGCCCAGGCTTCTGTGGGTGGCACCTCTTCAGGGACACCCCGAGATCACACCCCTAGCAGAGGACACAAAGCCTCCACAAACAGCCCCTTGGGTGGGTTTTCAGTTTCTGCAGCTGTGTAACTCAGCCCAGGTGCTGATGACAAACGCAGCATTTCCACAACCCCTCGGTCTCCTGCCCTGATGCACCAAGTGCTCCAGCGGAGATGAGCACAGCCCTGCAGGCTGGGGGGCTCACCCCCCCGGGTCCATGCACCCTAGGATCTGCCTGGCACAGCCTGGACCTCAGAGCCACGGGGCAGAGCTGAGCCCTGTGCCTGGCCCAGGGTCTCCAGCAGCTCCTCAAGCCCTTGTGGTGGCCACATCTCACCCCACGTCCCGCTGCAGGGAGCAGGGGCTGAGCAATGGCTCCTCCTTCATCCTCAGTGATGAAAGGCAGCAAAAACCTTCTGCCACGGCTCAGCTTTGAGAAGAGAAAGTAACAAATCCACCACCAACCACAGCTCCTGGCCAGAGAGAACGAGGACAGGAAACATCCCCATAAGGACGTTGCTGCTTTAGCAGCACTAGAGACCATCTTGGTTTTGGCTGCTTGAGAAACCCCCTAGAATGAACCCACCTTGGTGCCAGTGGTCAATGACAACCCCCTCCCCTCGCCAGGGCCTGGCAGATTTGGTTGTAGGGAAATGCTTTTTGTCTCGAATTACAATTTCACTAATTTAAAAAGCAAAATCTCCTTAATTAGAAAAGGGTTTTTCCACTCCCTGCTGGCCCCGTCCCACGGCAGGTGGAAGCCCCAGCCCTGGGCACACAGTCCCACCTCAGCCCCTGCATCTCCTCCATCAGCAAGTCTGTGCTTTGTTTCCAGGAAAGCACCACATTCTTCTCAAGCACCAGGACAAGCCAGGGTGGGCTGTGCTCAGCATCTGAGCAGCTGGGCCCATAGATGGCAGGATGGGACTGTCCAACAAGCCCTCCTGATGCTCGAGCAGGATCCTTCACGGGATCTCCTCCTTACCCACAAAAGCAACACATGTGGATGGCACAGAGGACTTAGCCATGACTCATTAGCAATTTGCCATTCATTATTCATTTATTGCAACCACTGCCTCTCTGTATTTTCCCTGCAAGGCTCAGGCTTTCTGTTTTACAGCTGCTGAATTTATTATTAACAGCTGGATCTTGGATGTGGCCAACAAGTCTTCAGCTGGGGGCACGATGCATTTGGTTATGTTTGTGGGATCTGGGCAGCTCACAGCTCCCCAGACTGAGGGTCTTCTGCAAACTGACCTGACCATCTGTCCCTGAGAGAGAAGGGGCTCTGGGTAACCTTCTGCTGGCCATGGGGGAGCAGCTGTCCCTAGAGTTGTTCTCCTCCTGCTCCATCCAGCAGGCATCCAGCAGGTCCCAGGGGCACCCTGGGGTGCAGCTCCATCCATGCACCCTCTCCTTTGCTCAGCCCACACTGCAGCCACACCAAAGCAGCTGGTGCCTTGTCCTGACATCCCTTTACCTGCTTCATGACTGCCTGTTAGCTCACAGGGGCATTTATGGATCACTGAAAGCCAGAGCCCTTTTGATAACAGAAGAAACAATCCTTTTTCTGGTGTCCTGGAGTATCAGACTGCAGACACCACCAACACAGAATATGATGAGCTCTGTCCCCAGGAAAGGTTCCCTATGAAGCCTGTTGTGTATTACACAGGGATGTGCAAAGAAAGAAAAGACACATTTCCTAACCCTGCTATAAACCTTTTACAGGGCCTGGGGCTGCACTGCTGGTGCTGTTCCAGGCACCCCACGCCTCACATGGCACTGCCCCAGTGCCATCAAGGGGTTAAAATGCACTCCTCAATAAGACACCAACATCCAAGTCTCAGCAGTTGTCAACAACATGATGGTAAAGTTGTGCTTAACCCTCTATTTGACTGTCAAACATTCAACCAACCAGTAACTGCTCACACTTCCCCCAAGGTACCTGAACCAGCACGTATGTCCTGCTCTCCTTGCCAACAAAATCAAATGTGAGGGGGGGTTTCACAGGAGGAGATTCTCTCTGAAGGATTAAGGAGTCCCTGCTTCATAAGTTGCAACACTGTGATTATTTTTTATAACTTTTTTTTGGGGAAGTTGATGCCCTTTCTAGATCCATTCATGCAAACTGTGAGCAAGGAAAAAACTAGATCAAATGATCTTCGTTCCCAACAGAAACCTAAATCACCACCTTTCAGAAACCTCTCCTTGTTTTGAGTAGACTTTAAAAAATCATCCTGTAAAATGAGACATTTCATCTTGGTGTTTCAGACCAAGCTCTGAGCTAGCCCCCCTGCCCCCCCATGCCCCGTCCATAAGGTCAGGATCAGATCCAGATTGCACTGCAGTTTTCTCTCACACTCTGCTTCACACACCCCATCTCTTTCATGGTGGGGAACACCTGTTTTTACAAGTCATATTAATATGCTCGGTACTTATAGGACATTTTTAACCTCTGCATCTGCTATTAAAGGGTAGCTACATGGTACCTCAACAACTGAGAACTGATAAAACCCTGGCAGCAACCAGGGGATGGATTCAGCCCTGCTCTGTTCAAAATTAAACCAAACCTTCATTTCACTTTTGCTGAGTCACAAATACCCCAAGTGCTACCTGCTTATGGAATAATATACCTTTGTTTTCACTTCTTGCATTTGCTGTCTAAAGTCAGTGTAATGTTGTTTCCACTTTGTTAATGGTTTCTCAAATGCTAAGTAAAATGGCAGCAAAGGCTTCATGCAATTTGCTGCTTATTATGTCTCTTCTGCAGTAATTCAGAATATCCTGACAACACGTATCATGTAGGAAGGACACTCAGAAGGAAGTTGCACGTCTAGAAGGCAATAACACTGGGACTTAAGCAACTGAAAATCTGCATTTCCACCCCATAAGGATCATCTTTCTGTAGAGAAAAGTGTTTAGGATATATTCTAAGCTTGGTCTTTCAGCTTTATCACTATTTGAACAGATTAGCATCCAAGTTCAACTGCAAACATCTCTGGATGCCACTAACAGATGGGCAGATACTCAACAAACATGAAATACTACACACTCACAGACAAAAATATCTTGCAGGCAGGACATTTGAGAACCATTTCAGGCAACGTTCGTGCTAAAAATCTGAATGCTTTGCTTTGCCTACGACCACCCTTCCTGGCTCTGCCAACAGATGAGACCTCAAGCCCCCCGTGACCGCTGCGTGTGGGGGAGAGCAGAGCTCCCTGCTGCCTCTGCACCACCACAGCAGCTCTACCTGTGGGGCTTTGTTGTAGATTCAGAACTCACTGATCCCCCCCCCCCAAAAAAAAAGCATCATCACTTTCAGACCAGAAACCCTCTGCAGCACAGAACAACCGACATAGTTTCCCAGTGCCAAGGGGCGCAGGGGTGTTTATCTGCCTTGTGAGGAAACCAAGGGGGGGAAAAGAGAGAACTACTTTCCATTTTTCTTGGCTTTTGAATCCATGTATGTGGAAACAAACAACCAGGAACATTTGCCACATGTCCAGGCTACTTACGGTTGAGAGGCAGGCTGGCATTGGTCGTCCCTAGCTTGTTGGCAGCGACACATGTATAGTTGCCAAAGTGCTCTTCTGTCACATTGGTAACAGTAAGAAGTGATCTTGTGCTATAATTTTTAATAGTAATTCCTTGTTGACCATTGATCAGTCTAGAAAGCAAAAAGAAAATTTCTGTAACTCATCTACCCCAAGCAAGAACTCCCTTTCTTTTCTCTTTGTTTGGGTTTGTTCCGTCACAGCCCCAGCAGGCAGCACTCCCGGCTGCCCAGGCTGCCTGCCAGGCACAGCTCTGGGAGCAGCAGCTGGGAGAGGCCTGGGCAGCACTGGGGGGCTGCTGGGAACAGGCTCTGCCTCCACGTCCTGCAGCCCCACAGCCCTGCCTGTGTGGGAGAGGACACCAGCTCCCCCGGGGATAACTCAGGTGGGCAAACCTAACTTCAAACGTGCACACCCTGTTTGGGGCAGAAAAGCACTCATCTGTCAGTGTGTTGTTGCAGGCTCTGGGGTGCCTGGTGTCCTGAAGCCCTGGAGCTGGTGGGAGGTCAGGACTAGGGAGCCAGAAATGCCACTGTGAAGGGTTGTGAGCACAGGTTGTTTTACAGCCTCTGGAGCTACAGATTGGAGTTGCCATTAGGAAAGCAGCTCTGCAGCAGCACTGCATCCCGGGCAGCAGCCTGGACAGAAACCAGGGGATGAAGTGCAGGGCAGAGCTGAGCCTGGCTCTGAGCTTCCCACCTCCAATTCCACAGGACCCGTGCAGGGCTGCAGGTGCTGCTTCCAAGGCAGAAACATCACTGCTGTGCTGGGGAAGCTGAACGTGGGCAAACCACGGCTGATCAAACAGCCTGATAGTAACCACGTTATTAAAATACTGGCTGATCACTCCCAGTTCCTTGCATTTCCCTTAAAGGGCAGAGTTCTGGATTAAATATATGATTTTTGTTGGATATATTGAAAGATGTAATCACCTATCCTGAGGCTGAATGCAATCTTTTAGCACCCATTTTAACATTCCAAGTCTATCATTAGTCGCACTCCCACACACTGGGGGCTGAATTCTTCTTGTGGTTCCAGTGTCTCTGTTCCCATCTAATCACAACCTGCTATGCATGGACTGGGTTTCTCTTCCCTGTGCAGTTTGTGCTGCTGCAAGGGCCAGGGGAGAGGACACGGTGCCTCCCATGCACACACGTGGCCTTGTGAGAAAGATGAACAGGGATTGAAGCACCTGGCTGGGGTGAGCACCACAGTTGGACAATTCATCCTGACTTGCAGTGAGCAGAGGTTTGTCCTGCAGCCTTTGCTGCTGCACATGGACGTTCTCCTAAAACTGCCCCTGTCTGTTGTTCCTCCTCCCTACAGAGAATCCCAGGAGCCCTTCCCCTCCCCAGCCCACTGTGTTGTGATGCTCCCGTGCCAGTGTGTGGAGGCTGGTGGTGGGGACCAGGGTGAGCTGGGCCATGGGGTGGCAGCTGTGCTCCCTGCTCCAGCCCAAGGCAGGGCTCTCCTCAGGATGCCCCTTCACCAGCAGGAGGGCATGAGCCATGGCCACCTTCCCCTCCTGCTGCCTTTTGGGATCTGAAACCCTGTCCCCTCTCCCAGGGGACCTCAGGCTACTGGAGCAGTAGCTCCACTTCCCACCTTATTCCTACCAGCTCTTCCCAAGCCACCTCCATCCTTCTGGCCCAGAACTGCACTTTGGGAATACAGCATCTCTATTTTATCTCTGCGAGGTTTAACTGATCTTTTTTTTTGTCCAGGTTTTGGGATTTCTGCCACCCCCATGTCCCTGAGAGCCCAGCAGCAGCAGAGACAACATCACCTTCCCTCTGTGTCTCTGCTGGGAAGGGGCTGACACTGGGAGGGCAGAGCTGAAGGTGGTTTAAATGGAACAGATGGGCATTGCAACGACCCTCGTTATTAACAGCAGCACTCAGCATAAACTCTGAAGTTCTGAGGGTTTCCATGTGCAGTTGTAGGAACCAGATGAACCAGCAGGTGAACCAGCACCACCAGGGATGGCTTTGCCCAGCCCAGCCTTCCCCATCTCTCTGGGTGTCAGCGGGTCCCCCCTGAGGCTGGGGCAGCATTCCAAGCTGCGTGCAGCCACCCCGCACATCTCCTCACCTCCCTGCTTTGTACCACTGCCTGTACCGGGCACAGGGATCTCATTTTCACCCGGGAGGTTGTGCCTGCACAGCCAAAGCGGGTCCGGCCCCAGTGCCAGCCCCAGGGGCTCTTCCCTTCCTGCCCCTGTAACGTATCAAGCCATTATCATGGGCTTTGTTGCTTCAAATGTCAGTCTTGTCTGCCCTGTCAAGGCTGAGGGAATGAACGTTTTTAAAGAAGTGACTTTTGGGCTTCACCCCCGTGGCTGTTGAATGGCTGGGCTCTAGTTTCTGCACAACCAACATCACGACCCACTTGAGCAGTTGAGAGTTTTGGCAACGGGGACTCAGCACAGTGAAGCCTTCCTCCCCTCTGCAGGGAACCCCTCAACAGTTTCAGAAGCTGTGCACTTCTGTCATTTTAAGATGATTTTACTAACTTACTCCCAAAATTCCCAGTCCCCTCCCAGCTCACCCTGGGCTCTCTGCAGCCCATCGGGGGTACAAGCCACTGCTTGGGCAGACAAGCTGCTAAATGCCCTGAAGCCTGTCTGGGAAGCTGTGCTGACCCCCCCCTCAGCCACAAAGGGACTGTGGGGGGCTCAGCCTGCCAGCCCCTGCCCCAGAACCCTGCAGCCCCCTGGGAATGGGGGCTCTGGGCTCCTTGCTGTGCCCTTGGCTAGGGATCAACAGTGCAAAGCAGGTTTGTGTGGCAGCACCCACAGAAAGGTTCCCCAGCAGCAGCAGCTCTTGGGAGTTTGGTCATTAGGGAGAATGATTCCTGCAATTGTCTTGAAGACCAGGAGTCTTAGCTGGGTGCAGCCTGGGACTGCTTTCATGTTTAGTTTTAAGGGCTATTTTGTGATGAGCTGGTCCCTGGAGTCAGGAAACTGTGGGTTGGGATTTACATTCATAAAAGTAGTAACAATGCAGTTTACAGACCCAAAGGGCTTGTTTCAGACACTGAACATATCCTTGGGGCTTCCAATCTAACTCCCACTGTTCATTTATTCAGTGATTCATCCAGCTTCATTAAAAAAAAAGTTCCAATCCAAGACTAACTGATGAAAATAGGATTCTCTCTATTCCGTTAGCAGAACATACAGCAGGGTGTGCACAGCCCGTGCAGAAATGCAGCCTTGCAGCACAGCAGACCTGCAGATGGTCTGCAGGATAATGTACATGCCCCCTGAGCCACCTATGGGAGCTGACTGCTCACAGTTATGCACTAAAACAACAGCTGAGTGTCCAAGGCTCATTCTGTGCTGGGTTTCCAGCAGCCAGAGGGAATGGACATACTGGGGGGAGAAAACAAGGTGCCTGCATGTTCTTCTTTCCTGCAAGTGGTGGAGGTTCAGAGACCCCCAGCACCTCTGCAGTCATGTGTCCCACACACCTGCCAACTACAGCTTGACAAAAAGGGAGGGGCCATTAGGTTTAGCACAATATCTCAGCAGTACCAGAATGGGACAGCACAGCCCAGCTGATGACAGCTGGGAGCTGCAGGGGCTGCCAACCGAACCAGAACACTGAGGGCACAACTCTGGTGTCCTGAAATGCTCTGCTTAGTCTTTCCTGCTGCTGCTGCGGCCCTGAACGCACTCATGGAGAAAGGAATTGGTCGATGTTATGAATAGAAAAGTGATGATTCTGCTGGAAATGGCTGATTGAAGGCAGAGGGCTAAAACCTGCCCCCCAACACTTCCCACCTAAAACACGTTTCTGCTGCAACTCCCCCCCAAACATGTGTACAACATCACATGCATCTTTGGAAACAGGATGCAGATGGATTTTGCCAACAGAATAAAACCATTTACTGTTCTATGGAGTAAAGATGGATGAGGTTGTTTCAGGAATGCTTCAGGGTATGGGCAGAGTGCAATAGTTACAGCCGCTCTGGAAACTCGGGGAGGAAGATGAGCAGCTAATGCTCCTAAAGGGGAGCAGCTGGCCAGGGAGGACTGAGCTGACAGATGGCTTTCTGTGAAAAATGGTCATTAATATTCTCCTGTCAGCTCCCAGGTTTAATGGGATGTTCAAGCTGAGAAACTCAGCACTCAGAAGCCAGGAAATTCCAGGAGCCTGAAGGGGCACGTGGGCAGGGAGAACACCCACTTGCTTCTGCACTGATAATGTAAACTTCTCAGCACCAAGCTCTTAGATAAGCTAAGAGCCGTGAAACAAAATTCCCCATTAAAAAAACCCAAACCAACAAATCTACCTGTTCAATGAGCTGCTTTTTAAAATGGAGACGACCGTGCAGAGGTACCTGTGTCACTGCATGGCACCAATGGCCTGAGTGCAGCTGACTGCAAAGCAACCCAACACACAGGAGGAGCTTGGGGCTGAGCCCCTCTGGGGTGCAGCAGCCCTGCTGGGGTTGGGGCTGCACACCTGTAGTCCAGACCACTGACACCACAACCAGGTGGGAACTCCCACACATTAAGGTTTGGTTGAAAGTCACGAACCAACCTTCCCACCCCCAAAGCCCTCAGCAGGA